GTATTTTAGGTAAAAAATCAATATATATAATTGATATCCTATTTGTAATATTTAAAAATCTTATTTGCACCCCGTTACGTATAAGTAAAGACTCGGGAATAGTGTGGTTTATGGTCTCAGCTATTGTCTGGTCTATAGTTTCAGCTATAGTCTGATCTATAGTTTCGGTTATAGTCTTGACTTTCGACTCGATTACTTTCTGGTCTTTAGCCTTGTGTAAAGACTTGATTATTGTCTGTTCTTGTGTATAGTATATTTTTGACTGTAGACTTACGTCCATTGTCTTGTATGTGGTCTGTTCTATGTTATTGACTATAGCCTAGTCTATTGCTTTGATCTGGTCAATAGTCTTGACTAAAGTTTGGTCTATAGTCTCAACTATAGTCTTGACTATAGTGTGGATTATATAATTTTCTATAGTGTATGCTATAGTCTTAACTATAGTGCGTCTATAATCTTGACTAAAGTCTGGTCTATAGTCTTGACTATTGAATGGTCTAATGGTCTGTTATTGTGTATAGTCGTGTTATAGTATATTTTTGACTGTAGACTTACGTCCATTGTCTTGTATATTGTCTGTTCTATGTTATTGATTATAGTGTGGTTTATTGCTTTGGCTTTGATCTGGTCAATAGTCTGGTAAATAGTCTTGACTAAAGTTTGGTCTATAGTCTCAACTATAGTCTTGACTTAGTTAAAACGGAGTCTCTTCGATTCTACTTGACAGTTTGAGCGTAGTGAACAACCACGTATACCATAGTCTTGACTATAGTGTGGATTATATAATTGTCTATAGTGTTTGCTATAGTCTTAACTATAGTGCATCTATAATCTTGACTAAAGTCTGGTCTATAGTCTTGACTATTGAATGGTCTATAGTCTTAACTATTGTCTGGTCTCTAGTCTTTACTATAGCCTGGTCTATTGTATTTAGTATAGTCGGGTCTATAGTCTTGGTTAGAGTATAATATTGACTATATACTGCATTATAGTCTGGTGTAGAGTCTCTACTAACGTCTGTTCTATAGTCTAGTCTTAGTTTAGTCTGATATAAAGTCTAGTTATATGGTCATTTGTCTATTTTGGCAAACACAAAAGCTATCAACTCTTTATCTAAAGTTTACACGATATTGAATTATGTTCGCGATTGTAATTTTTTTTTTAAGGAATGGAATTATTATCAAACACCCTAAAACAAATATTTCTGTTGTAATTATTTTTATTTATTTTAAAAAATATTTTTTTTTTTTTTTTGATTTTTCTAAGATTTTTTTTCTGGTAAAATTGCTTAATATATATTTTGGTTTGGTATATTTTAATTTTATTTTTTAACTGTCTGTTAAAAAGAACATATCGCAACTTAGCAGACAATAAACGGTTTAAAATTTTAATTATCTAGGTTGTTTATTTTCTTTCTTCAAATAAGTGCTTTCTATAATTTTGTATTTAAAGTGTTTTATGTTAAAAACTAAATGTGATGAAAAACTTAATATTGTAGTGTAACCGCTAAACTAATCAAACATAACTAATTGCATTTCTATTAAACGCATAAAAAGTTCATACATTAAACATCCCACTAACAAGTATATTTTATTTTCATTGGTCTTTAAATGGTTTTTAAGTGTTTTATGTTTAAAAAATATATCATCAACTAATAATATTAACATTCATCAATCAAAAACAAAAATCCCTTAATTTTATCCTTCAATTAACAAATAACGCCACCCTTAATACTTAAAGTCTGGACAAAATTTTATTGAATTTTAGTTACTTGGAGTCTCACAAGGAATGGTTTAACGAAGACAACTATGTACGTGGTAATATCGGTAGAAAAACTACTACCACTATATCCACAGATTCTACAAAAACAGAAGATACCGAGACAACAGCAAATACAATAATACCAGCACAGGAAACAACGACTGAAGAGCAACCGTTGGAGGAGAATAAGATTACCACACCAACCTCGCTAGTAACTACCAGCACTATGGCAACTACGGTAGAAAGTGTAGCTTCATAGCACTAGGATTAAAATGGAATAAAACAAAACTTACACAAATCTCATAATTTTTTTTATTAAGCATTATATATTTTATATATTAATTAATATGTCTGTATATATTTTTATTTATATAATTTAAAACTATTTACAAATACAATAAATTGTAATTTTAATATAATAACAATTTTTAACTTTTTATTTTAATTTATTTTATAATTTCAATTGTTTTTTTATTATACTGTATAGCCTAATCTATTTAGAGTTTTTTTTACTCTTTGTGGTCTTTTGATTTTTTCCTCCAAAAGAAATTTAATATCTGTAAAGAAATGATTTATAAAAGCATTTAATTTTGCTTTTGTTCATAAACTAAAGTATGAAGTTTGCTTCGTAAATAATATGAAATATTCACATGCGATTTGATATTCTGAAATATATTTACAACGAATAGTATTTACATTTTTATGTACATTTGCTCTTAATATACATAAATATTCTTTAAAATATATTAAGAGTTTGAAGGATCAGTTTGAAGGTACTCCCAGAGCCAGCAAATCAATGTTCAAATTAAATTGGATTGTTTTACAAATGTAAAAGATTCGCAATACACTTTTTTCAATCTAATTTTCGAAATAAATATCTAAAATTCGGACTTCGAAGAACTTACAAAGGATGTGAAATAAATCTTTAATTGTATTTTCAATTGGCTTTAAAATAAGGGTTTAATATATGCTATTTCCAGTTCCTTTGAAATTTAAAACCATAAACTCAAAAATATCGATTTTGCTTTTAATTTATAGCAAAAACTTCAGCGGACGATGTTTCAGAAAGAGCCAGATATAACATGTATCTGAACTAGAACTGAACTAGAACTGAATTAGAACTGAACTAGAACTGAACTAGAACTGAACTAGAACTGAACTAGAAACTGAACTAGAACTGAACTAGAACTGAACTAGAACTGAACTAGAACTAGAACTGAACTAGAACTGAACTAGAACTGAACTAGAACTGAACTAGAACTGAACTAGAACTGAACTAGAACTGAACTAGAACTGAACTAGGAACTAGAACTGAACTAGAACTGAACTAGAATGAACTAGAACTTAGAAACTGACTAGAACTGAACTAGAACTGAACTAGAACTGAACTAGAACTGAACTAGAACTGAACTAGAACTGAACTAGAACTGAACTAGAACTGAACTAGACTGACTAGAACTGAACTAGAACTGAACTAGAAGTGAACTAGAACGGAACTAGAACTGAACTAGAACTGAACTAGAACTGAACTAGAACTGAACTAGAAACTGAACTAGAACTGAACTAGAACTGAACTAGAACTGAACTAGAACTGAACTAGAACTGAACTAGAACTGAACTAGAACTGAACTATAACTGAACTAGAACTGACTAGAAACTGAACTAGAACTGAACTAGAACTGAACTAGAAACTGAACTAGAACTGAACTAGAACTGAACTAGAACTGAACTAGAACTGAACTAGAACTGAACTAGAACTGAACTAGAACTGAACTAGAACTGAACTAGAACTGAACTAGAACTGAACTAGAACTGAACTAGAACTGAACTAGAACTGAACTAGAACTGACTAGAACTGAACTAGAACTGAACTAGAACTGAACTAGAACTGAACTAGAACTAACTAGAACTGAACTAGAACTGAACTAGAACTGAACTAGAACTGAACTAGAACTGAACTAGAACTGAACTAGAACTGAACTAGAACTGAACTAGAACTGAACTAGAACTGAACTAGAACTGAACTAGAACTGAACTAGAACTGAACTAGAACTGAACTAGAACTGAACTAGAACTGAACTAGAACTGAACTAGAACTGAACTAGAACTGAACTAGAACTGAACTAGAACTGAACTAGAACTGAACTAGAACTGAACTAGAACTGAACTAGAACTGAACTAGAACTGAACTAGAACTGAACTAGAAGAACTAGAACTGAACTAGAACTAGAACTGAACTAGAACTGAACTAGAACTGAACTAGAACTGAACTAGAACTGAACTAGAACTGAACTAGAACTGAACTAGAACTGAACTAGAACTGAACTAGAGTGAACTAGAACTGAACTAGAACTGAACTAGAACTGAACTAGAACTGAACTAGAACTGAACTAGAACTGAACTAGAACTGAACTAGAACTGAACTAGAACTGAACTAGAACTGAACTAGAACTGAACTAGAACTGAACTAGAACTGAACTAGAACTGAACTAGAACTGAACTAGAACTGAACTAGAACTGAACTAGAACTGAACTAGAACTGAACTAGAACTGAACTAGAACTGAACTAGAACTGAACTAGAACTGAACTAGAACTGAACTAGAACTGAACTAGAACTGAACTAGAACTGAACTAGAACTGAACTAGAACTGAACTAGAACTGAACTAGAACTGAACTAGAACTGAACTAGAACTGAACTAGAACTGAACTAGAACTGAACTAGAACTGAACTAGAACTGAACTAGAACTGAACTAGAACTGAACTAGAACTGAACTAGAACTAGAATTGAACTAGAACTAGAACTGAACTAGAACTGAACTAGAACTGAACTAGAACTGAACTAGAACTGAACTAGAACTGAACTAGAACTGAACTAGAACTGAACTAGAACTGAACTAGAACTGAACTAGAACTGAACTAGAACTGAACTAGAACTGAACTAGAACTGAACTAGAACTGAACTAGAACTGAACTAGAACTGAACTAGAACTGAACTAGAACTAGAACTGAACTAGAACTGAACTAGAACTGAAGTAGAACTGAAGTAGAACTGAACTAGAACTGAACTAGAACTGAACTAGAACTGAACTAGAACTGAACTAGAACTGAACTAGAACTGAACTAGAACTGAACTAGAACTGAACTAGAACTGAACTAGAACTGAACTAGAACTGAACTAGAACTGAACTAGAACTGAACTAGAACTGAACTAGAACTGAACTAGAACTGAACTGAACTAGAGCTGTTGAGGTTTAACTTTAGGAAAGTCACTTGAGGTTGGACGTTAGGAAATTAAGCAACTCGTTTGGGTAAAAATATCAGTTGAATAACGATTGATTTATTTTTTGCAAGGACGTTTAAAACTTTGCTCAGTTATAGACGGATTATTACGCGAAATTTTGCCTGTACTGTTCCGCCGCTGTGCAGATTTTGTAGTGGAAGTTTTTGCAATATTGTTTCGAGTTTGGATTGAATTTAATGTATTGATAGAAGTAATACTATCACTTCGTGCTGTATTTTTTGTTAAGGGATTGGAAGACAAATTGAATTTAAGTTGATTTGGATTGGAAGAATTGATTGTATCACTTTCATAATTCGAATTTATTATGGAGGTGGTAGCAATGCTTTTTCTACGATTTTTAAAAGTTGACGAGTTAGCGGTAGAAGATTTTATGTTTTCTCTTTGTAATGAAGGATTTGTATAGGATTTATTGCAAGAAGTTAAAGAAGCTCTTCTGCCTGCTGTTTGCAACTGCTGTGCTGTGTTTAAAGTGTTTAGAAGTGAACTATTATTAGGATTTATATGTTTGTTATTAGTAGTTAAGGAAGCTTTCATAGACACAAAATTTGAGTTGGTATTTGAAATTTTTGTATTGGATATTTTGCTAGAAGTTAAAGAATTTCGTCTGCTTGCTGGTTGTACTATCTCTTTGGCTTTTGAAGTGTTAAAGGAAGAGCTTTTACTAACATTTGAGGGTTTATTATTAGTAGTTAAGGATGTTTTCTTAAGCACTGTTTTTGATGTTGACTTCTGGGTCAAAGATGTGTTAATACTTTTTTCACACTCTTGAATTTTCTTGGAATTTTGCGAATAATGTCTACTGGTCAAACTAGCTCTACGCTGTGCGGTATTTGTGGAGGTATTTATAGAAGGTAAACTCACTCTCCGCTGGGTACTGTTGCCTAAAGGAGTATTTGTACTTTCCGGTTTTGAGAAAGTTTTCCCTATACATTTACTACGATCTGTCGGGTTTCCGGTTTTATTTTTTAATGATGATGTTTTTGAGACTGTATTATTGGTCGAAGAGGTTCCAATAATTTTTCCACATTCTCGAAGTTGTGAAGCAGTAGTAGTAGTAGAAGAACGGTTGGATGCCAAGCTAGCTCTTCGCTGTATAGCATTTGCAGAGTTATTCAGAGAAGGAAAACTGGATCTACGTTGAATATGTTTGGAAGAGCTCAACTTTTTTTCATTGTCTTGAGTTAATGAAACTTTTGTGGTATATTGTAAACTCGCTCTACGTCGAGAAGACATATGCGATTTTGTTTCAACAACATTAAGTGAAATGTTACTACTTCTTGTGGAGGTTATGGAAGAACGTAAACTTTGCCGAGATAATCTTTGTTGACTTGTATTTCTTTGTAAACTATTTACCTTGTTATGGGAATGTTCCTCCAAATGAATATTGTCTTTCGTTACGGAGGGTTTACGTTTGATTTGGTTATCATCCTTGTGATTTGCTTTAAGAGAGTCAGTAGTTAAAGATGAACGACGTGCATTAGTTTGGGAAGACATTATTTTACTTTTAGCCGTAAGTTTTGGCTTTGCTTCTTTAGAATTATTGCTTTTGTCAACGGTTCCAATATAACTTTGAAAATTTGCCTCTTGTTGGGACTGTAATCGAAATGGTGAAAGAGCTCTTAACTTATTTTGTATACGATTTACCACGCGCTTGGATATAGTTTGTTTATGCTTGATCTGCAGTGAAGTTTTAACAGTTCTATTAGATTGAACTTCAGTAGAAGGATTTTCGGAATTTTGATTTAGGTCTATTGTTTCAGTTTTGGAACAATTTATATCATGACTTTCTGTTTGAGTTTTATCGATAGCATTATTACCGGATGAATTTGACAATTGTTCTACTATTGCTGGTCGTAGGGGCGATAAAGCTCTTAATTTGTTTTGTATTTTAGTCATCAAGCTTATCGAGCAATTAGGTTTTGAAATAATACTATTCTCTTTCTCTATATCGCTTGTTTGAGTTACAATTTCTGAGAGTTTTTGTCTCGACTTCTCTTTTTCTCTTACAGTTTCATTTAAGGAATTGTGGTCTGGCAAAATGTCGGTATTTGTTTTAGAATGATCTTCATGATTGTTATTTAATGACTGTTGAAATTCAAATTGATGTTCATTACTTGTATTTTGATTTGGAGTAAAATTTTCAGGCAGTTTTTTACTTGATTTCTCAAAGTTTGTAATAGTTTGGTTTAATATATTGTTCTCTGGCAAAATATCGTTATTTGCTTTAGACTGATCTTTAGGATTGTTATTTAATGACTCTAGAATTTCGTTTTGAAGTTTTTCAGTTTTATTTTTTGTTGGATTAACTATATCAGGGAGATTTTTACTTGATTCCTTGATTGCTGTACTAGTTTCTTTCAATGTATTGTTCTCTGCCAAAATGTCTTCATTTACTTTACCTTGATCTTTAGGATCGTCATTTAATGGCTCTGGAATTTCGGATTGAAGTTCATTTGGTTTATTTTGTGTTGGAGCTATAATTTCTTGCAGTTTTTGACTTGACTCCTTATTTTCTGTACTCGTTTCTTTCAATGTATTGTGCTCTACCAAAATGTCGTTATTTACTTTACACTGATCTTTTAAGTTGATATTTAATATCTCTAGGATTTCGGTTTGAAGTTCATTAGCTTTATTTTCTGTTAGAGCAACAATTTCTGGGAGTTTTTGACATGAATCCTTATTTTCTGTACTCGTTTCTACATTTACTTTACACTGATCTTTAGAATGGTTATTTAATAGCTCTAGAATTTCGGATTGAAATTTACATGTCTTATTTTGCTTTAGTTCAATTTCTCTGGAAGTTAAATCTACTACTTTGTTCAAACTAGCTGGATTATGTTCGGCATATTCCATTTTATTATGTGGTAAGGTGTCTTTAACTTCAGCTTTATCTGTGCCACTATTTAATAATTTTGATTCTAGATCTTGTTGGTTAGTAATATTTGCATTTTGTATTAGTTCATTGGGAGTGGTACATAGTATATCTACTGATTGATTGAAACCAACATTATTATCCTCAATATGTTCTTTAATCTCTTGCAATGTAGCATTAGCTTCAATATTGTCGTTATCACTATTTAATACCTTTAATCCTCGATCGGGAAACCAATGATTGTCTTTTTTTTCTACAGTTGGACTAAAAGCTAATAACGTTGTGGACGCTAGCTCTGGACTGGGTGAGCGTAGATTAGCCTTTGTCAGCTTTATATCTTCTTCAGTTATAGAACTGAAACGCTTAAGTCTGGCAATGTTTGCCACGGTTTTCAAAGATATTCTAGGGCGTTTCATTTCGGCTGTGGGTCCAACGGCCTCGCTAACGTGATTATCATTTGAGTCATTAAGAATTTTCCTTATCCTAGGATTTTGCCTTCTGGAGTTTTCGAATTCTAGTTGATTTTCGGGGAATATAAACACTGAGTCCGTTTGTGGTAAAGGTGTTCTTACGATATTTTCTACAAAAGGTTGTTTTCTCATCTTGTTTGTTCTATTATCCACTGTAGAATTGGAACGTATAAGTATTTGTATACTTTGACGTCTGGCTGTAAGGTCGGGTGTTAGACATTTGTCTTTGAGTTGAGAGTCTAAAATCATAGATAAGTTTTATTTGATAAGTTTGCATGGAAAAGGAACATCCCAGTTAAAACTTACCTTTATAGCTTTGCATTAATCGGATCCATGACTTTTTAACAATATTTAACTTTTTCTGTTTATCTGAAGTTAAAGTTTCATTATTATATTCCCACGAGGGTATACGTTCTCTTTCATTTAACAATTCAGCTGTTAGTCGTTGTTTACGTTTACATACTGAAATGAAAATTCGAAATTCAAATAATTTCTGAATTTTTTGAAACAAAAAATTTACCTTTTTCACCATTACGTTTATATTGCGTCCCTTGGAAAAATGCCATTAATTCATCTTCATTATTTTGATAATTTTTACATGGTTGCCTAGTTTTGTTGGATGATGAACGACAAGATGTGGCTTGTGCTATGCGATCTTTATTGGCTGAGAAGCAAACAATGGGTATTATATAAAATTCTTCTAAAACAATGCTTTAAACCCAGTACATACCACATAAAACATTTACAGCTAAGTGTTGATCCTCCCTTTGTTTGCGTTTCATTTCCTCTCGTATTTCCAACTCTTGACGTTTTTGATTCTCTTTTAAAGATTGCTTGAATTGTTCACAAAACTTATAGAATATATCAAAGCATTCTTCCATTTTAAAAGTGGCCACATCTTCACAGAAATATTCAGCCATTGTTATGCGTAAAGCGTTCATTTCTTCAAGTAGTTTTTTCAGTGTCTCTATTTTATCTGCTGCATTGTGTAAAAATTCAGACATTTGCTGTTTGATATCCTCTTGAGTGGTAGGCAATTCGATTTGTCTTCTTATAATATCCAAGGCATTTTCCAAATTTTTAAAATCCTTTTCAATTTCATCAATATTGACTCTAATATTTAAATAATCCAATTTTATATTTGTTTTATTTTATTATCATTTACTTACTTGTAGACATTTTGCAAAAAGCTTAACTCATTAGTAAAGTCTAGTAGTTCGGCATTATAATTCTCAAGTTCCATGACAATTTTATGCAAGAAATGCATGCCAGTTTTATTAGCTTTTAATTCCGTTAATTTAGTTAAGGAAGCTATTTGTATGCCAATTGCATTACCAGCATAACCGCCAGAATTTACATAATTTCCCAGCAATATTATAAAGCCTAAAACCTCTTTTAGTTTTTCACTCTTCATAAGATCTAAATTGAAGAAGTTAAAGAAACTTAATGTTTTGCACAACTTTAGTTTAGGGATTATGGGAAATTTTACCATTTCCTGCTTGTATTATGGCATTTAGGGAAGGCTCTAAATATGTTAAATTTAAAGCATATTCTTCTTTAAGTATCATGCTGTCTATGCGTAATTTAAAGCTGAAAAAAGAGTAGAAATATTAGACACTTGGGTCCATACATTATGACTTAAGATTGCCGATTTATCAAAAATGTTTAGCAGTTCATGTTTGCAGTTTTTTAAATCTTTGCTCAAACTCAAACTTCTTCTTGGACATTGAGGATAGAAGGTGGAGTTGAGGATATTGAATTTTCAAATTTAGGGTAGTATGTGTCTGTCCAGTATAGTTTTAGATCCATCCGATTTGTCAAGAATTTTTTAGAGGAACATGTTTGCAATTTTTAAAACCTTTACTCAAACATCTTAGAGAAAAAAACAACCTGAATTTCTACGCGGATCTAAAGAATGGTTTATAGTGCCTCAGTTCTTAACTAATGGCTGACAAGCTATGATAACTTCCGGAAATCCAATTTTGCCAGCGTTACAAAACACTTCTTCTATCTGAAACCTAGATTCAGCGCATCAGAAACATTCTTAAATCCCCCCTCAAAAAACTAATGGTGGTCATGATTTCATGATATTGAAATATATTTTTCTTTAGCCTTATGGAAATTTACTCCACAAATAAAAGTCTCAGTGGTCAGTTCCTAACAAATGTCTGACAAGAGTTCCTCATCTGCTATTGCATTGACTAGTTGCTCAAAAGAACTTGTCCTGTTCTGATCATTTGTTGATTTTCACTCAAATTAATAGGGAGAAATTGTTAGTTAAAGGCTTGTTGTAATGGGCTGGAGACGTGTCTCCATATGTCCAATATATATGTGTCAGTGATTCCGTTTTGTGGAGCCAAAAAATGAGGCTGTTCTTAGCTGACGGCTGGCCAGTGTTCCTTATCTGGTTTCCAGTTGCTCTCAGGATTTGTTCTGTTCTGATTATTGGAGAGAGCCTGTGGTTATATTCCAAATCGGGGGAAGAGAATATTGGTTAAAGGCCTAGTCGAGAAATGAATTGCAGTTACCAGGGTTTACACTATGCTCAAGGCATGATTAAACGGTGCCCCTGTTCTGAGTGGGATACAGTGGCATATAGACGCAGTCGTTAGCATGTCATTATTAGCAGATGGCGACGATCTATTTCTTTTCGTTGGCTGTAATGATTGTCCTTGATTTTGATCGAGAAATACATCCCTGATGATTCCATTGATTGCCTGTTAAATCATGCAGTGATCAGTGGTTTTTATTCTGGACGTATTTTGTGCATTGAAAAACGCGGATCAACCTTAAATCAAGCGACAGCATCTGCTTTTAATTTCGAACTGCGACTTCTGTTTTTAATGCGGGAGGACCTCTGTGGCAAGCACAAGGTGGCACTTATCAAAGAGCTTTTACATGGACCGCAGAGCTATGTACAAAGGTCCTTTTCCGGAGCGCTAGTGGATCGTTCAAAGTTTACATAGTGGTTTAAAATTAATATCTTCATATGGAGGCACGTAAAGGGGTCTCCTGTTTGGATCTGTCAGTGAATTATAGGTGTAAGTCCTTTAGTTAGTTTCATACTTTAAATCAAACTATCCCTATTATATTCTTACAGTTTTATTGAACGTCCAGAGTAGTCCTAGATGCGACCTAATCAATATTTTGCCAACATATCAGAGCGATGTACAAAGGTCCGAATAGGTTATCATTATAATACTTTTGGGAGGCAGACTAAAAAGCTACATTTAATAGTTAGATCGAAACAAATATTAAACCTACTTTGGCACTTTCAACAGTAAATATAAAAATCTTTCAGCATCTGCTAAAAGTTTATCATCTCCTTGAAATGTTTCTACAGATTTGACGCCATCTTCCTTTTGAACAAATTTTACCAAATCTTTAAGTTTCTCCAGATCCATAATTTTATTATCGCCATTCTCAATTAGTTGCACAATATCTTCTAAACTATAACTGCAAATAAAAGTAATTAAAATATTACACTAAATAACTTATAAAGTATCAATATTTACCCTTTAAATTGCTTTAAGAATATACTTATATTCATACTAAACTGACCATCCAGTAATTGTACTTTTTTAGGACCCTTTTCAAATTTTTTAACCGCGCCACAGCCATCCAACTCATCCTTAATTTTGTTAGGTTTTTTCTTAGTTTGTAGAGAGAAGAGTTCTTCGATACTTTTGAAATTGATCGCATTTTTGCATTGTCGATCATTCATTTTTATTGTAGTATATATATTTGATTTGTTCTGGAATTTATGTGCGGGAATTTTTGACCAATTAATCATTCTTAATTTAGTGCTTGATTTTGGTATATTTTGTTGGGGCACTAAGGCACAAGACATTTGTAGTGGATGAGGAGGTGGCGGAGGTAAACCAGGGCCCGAAGGAGGAGGTGGTGGGGGCGGTAAACCGGGTGCTGGTGGAGGAGGAGGTGGTGGCGGTAAGCCAGGTGCTGGTGGAGGAGGAGGTGGTTCTGGCGCTGACCCCGGTGTAGGTGGCGGAGAAGTTGTTAATATACTTGGCAAATCTGCTGTTGATGCAGCTAATTCCAATTTATCACAACTATTACATTCTTCATCGTTTGCCTCTCCAATCTTAAAACTACAATTTTGACAGGAAAATTTACGAGTTACCGTTGCTATAAGCAAACGTTCGACATCTTCAGCACTTTCCATTTGTGTTGCACGATGTAGTACCTTTTCTGCCACTTTCCAGATTTCACCACATAATGGACCATTTGGATCGATACGCAGCAAATGATGTAAAATACTTAGAAAAGTCACTTCATAAGGAGTTTTTGACACCTAGAAACATTAACGAGTATTAATAGTATATGCTTAATAGATTTTATGTTTAAATACCTGTAGTAATATTTCTTGAAAAACTTCATGATGAGAATTTAAATTTATACTACTCGTACTTGTTGATCGACTGCTTTTACCGCACTCATTTTGATCTAGATCTAGTTGAACTACTATATCATCAACTCCGGGGGAAAGTGTTCTGTAAAAAAGTTTATACTGTTTGTACTAAATTTTTCATTTCATTTTTAATTTGATTTATGATTGGATCCGATCCTCAACAAATTGGGAGGAGGGATGTATTTTTTATATCCTACGCCACTATATGTTTGTAACACCCAAAAATATTGGTCCTACACCCACCTTAAAGTATAGCAATCGGCTCAGAATCACTTTAAGAGTTGATTAAGCTATGTCCGTCCATCCGTCTTTCTGTCCGTCTGTGTGTCCATGTAAACCTTGTGCGCACGCTACAGGTCTTGGAACGTGTGCCTCTTTTGCTCCAAGGACGAAAGCTATTGAAAATGGTTGAAATCGCTTCATTATTTCACCTAGCCCCCATACAACCGGGCCCCCCCGAATTGGGCTGTTGGCCTCATAATTATGTTAAATGATCCACTATCTCTATAAAAATTGGCAATACTTAGTTGTATATAAGTCGTAATAATTCTAGCGATTTTTGTAAAGAATGGGCATCATTTGACCTTAGCCCCCATACAAAGTCCCCTTTAGAAAATGACTTGAATGTCCACAATTTACTTATAAACACTAGTATCACGATGAAATTTTATATAAACATAAATCCCGACAATAAAATTTAAAAGGATCGGTTCAAGCCCCCATATAACCGATCATTACAAATATCGGCATGGTAATTTATGCCTATATAAAACTTAGTTGTGCCAATTGGGCTGATAGTAATATATTTGACAAAGTTATGAGTTAACCCCAATTTGGAAGGTCAGGTTGTATGGGGACTAGGTGAAATAATGGACCGATTTCAACCATTTTCAATAGGCACAAAAATATCTTGAAGATTGTGACCTGAAGCTGAAAGTGATTCTGAGTTGATCGGTATACTTTAAGGTGGGGTTAGGACCAATACCCTCCCCACTATAGTGGTGCAGGGTATTAATAGTATAAATATGAAAATCAAGTTTATAACTTTATAGATCCGATAGTGTCAATTTCGAATAAAAGTCATGGCATTCATCGGCAAACAGGAATGAGTACAGACTAAATGCATGCGTTCTAGAACATGTTGTTCAAGTAGTTTTTGCTGGGTCTTTATTATATTAAAATCTAAAATCTAGTTGTGGTTAAACGGGGTTCTCTTTATGAATAATGCATAAGTCTAGCATTTTTGCAATATGTGTGTAAAGTTAATCGTTTAAAAAACGAATATTAAGAAAATGCTTTAATTTTTTTTCGTCATTAACTTTAAACTTTTTGCAAATTTTTATAATTATTAATTTGTTTTAATTATAATAAATGTTTTAATTATTATTTATTATTAATCTTTATAATTATTGCAACATTGGTATTTGTCATATGATGAGTATTGTTATTAGTTTAAAATAGAAAAAATATATTTTTTTAATATTGCAAATTTTTTGAAATTGTTCACTGATATATTGAAATGTTTTAAAAACTTCTTAAGTTGACTTTAAATTAATATTTCACACCCGAAGTTAACCCGATCATAAAGATTTGAATTTTTTAATTTTTAAATCATACAAAATATTTGTAATTATCCAGTTATCTGGTTATTTTTTCCATAATATTGTGAAATTGGGATTTAGTAATTTTTCTTAATTTTTAATTTTACCCACATATTTAAAAGCTCTGTATTTGTGCCCGTGGCATTTGATAAAATGTGTAAAGTTTTTTCCATATTAACCATTTGTATTTTTTATTATTTTTTTATTTATTTAAAAATTTAAATTATTTGTTTAACGTTCAATATCGACCGTCCATTTGTGATTATAAAATTATACTAACTTTAGTATTTTGTTTTAGAAATTACAATTACAAATGAGTCTGATGCGAATTATTATTAATTTGCGGTTAAATTTATACAAAAATAGTGTGATACAAATAAAATATTTGTTTTTATATAAAAATTATTTATACATCATCTGTCTTCATTCAGAATTATATAGAAAAATTTCAAGATTTTGTGGGGGGGTCGTAATAAAACGGAATTATACTTATAGGCAGAATTTTCCTTGCATTACACCATGCTACGAATAAAAAGTTATATAAAAAAAATAATTTTAAAACTAAAATTTATAAATTCTTAAAAAGTAAATATTTTCTAGTTTAAAATTTCATGGAGTTGGAATAATTAAAGATATTAGGCTTTTGAATACATAACTAATTGAAATGGTATTTGTTAATGGCGTAATAGTATTTGGTAATGATCTCTTCGAATAAGTTTGACTCCATTCGGACCTAACTAGGGTTAATTGTGATACCAATAGAGAAAATTTGAAAGAACACAAAGTAGAAAGTTAAAACGGAAAAAGAACAAAATGTAATCCGCTTGACTTTACATCGAGTCATGTCTACGGCTACAGGAATGGATTTAGTACCCAACACAGCTATACTTTGAACAGTTCCATCACTTCTACTGTCTTTAACTGCTCATTATTTTCAATAACTTGATTACGACCTGTCAATAATACAATTACCGATTTCAAAGACAGGTTTCAGTTCCGTTTTTGGTTCCATTCAAGTCGCAAAATTGGTCAGATCTTAACATCTTGAATTAAGTGCGAATAACTTCGAGGACCGCATAAAACCTTTGAATAAACTCGATGCTTATAAACGTTTTCAATGTTTGGGTCTTTAAAGGAACTACCACACTAATATATAACCGAATACTTTCTTTGGTATTCCGAGAGTATGGGTTAAAGAATGCTTTAGTCTAAGCCGAAATTAAAGGAAATTCCTAAAGTTGCTATTGCTCAATAAAACAATCATATATAGTACCTTAAGAACTATTTGCTGGTCAGTATTTCTATAGAGTCGTGGAAATTTCGGTGTACCCCTGATAAACCCATACTTTCCGGATGAATATGTATCACAATGGCCTCGATGCTAAATAAGTAGTCCATTTGTTCTAAGTTGCTATCTCTCGAGAAAACAATCATACTAATAACCGCATATTGTTTTCTTTAAATCTACAATTTTATTGGGCCTGATTTGGATCAAAGAGGTACAGGCCGTCTAATATCATTGAACGTATATGGTTCTATAAATGCCCTACTTGTGGTCTGAGAACGGTCTGAACGGTCTCAATGAATATTAGATAGTTAATTTTTATACACACCATATATATTGATTTTGTCATTTCGTGTGTAACACATCGAAATATTGTTCACAGACCCCATAAAGTATATATATTCTGGGATCTCGTAAGATTCTAAGGCGATCTAGCTATGTCCGTCCTTCTGTCTGTTGTTGGCACGATAGCGTCCACAAAAAAAGAGATAGGGAGATGAAATTTTCTTTATTGATCAGAAATGTTTGGTATTAAAAATGGGCAAAATCGGTCAACGAGTTCACATAGCCCCCATACAAATGTGTCCCCGGAATATTGTGTAAATAGCTTCAAACATTCACAAATTCGTTGTTTATAAGGCAAATGCCAAAAAATTTCACATACATATGTCAGTTTTTTTCTCCTAAAATTCCATTCTGAATTGTGGCAGACCTAGGACCTTAATTGGTCCTACCCTCATATAAGGACCCCTTCAAAAAATTATTATAATGATTATTTTCGACTAAAAAATACGTCTACAGTAATATAATTCGACATAAACAGGTCTAATAGGTACTGAAATCTTTATACCAAATTTTAAGAGTATCAGTCCATGAGTGACCCTACCCCCCATATAAGGTCCCCTGCAGAAATTACTGCAACACAAACTACCGGCTTAAAAATAACTGTATGATGACAAAATTCGACCCCGAGCCCCTTAACCAAATTTTGTGGGGATCGGTACATAATTGACCCTATCCCCCATATAAGGTCTGAAAATTACTTTACCGTTCATTACTGGCCTAAAAAGACGATTAAAGCGATGAAATTCGATATAAACATGACTTATATCAACCAAGATCATTCTACAAAATTTTACGAGGATTGATCTATAATTGATCCTACGCTCTATATAAGTTCCCCATCAGAAAATTACTTTAACGTTCAGTACTGCCTTAAAAATTCTAGTAGATCTATGAAATTCGACATAAACTGTTTTTGTATGAGGTAACATCTCTCTACCAAATTTTGTGGGGATCGGTCCATAATTGACCCTACCCCCTATTTAAAAAAATTACATTAATGCTCATTACAGGCTTAAAAATGCGAGTACACCGATGAAATTCGACATAAACATGACTTGTATGAACCAAAATCGTTGTACTACATTTTACCAAGATCAGCCTATAATTGACCCTACCCGTATTTAAGGTCCCCATCAGGAAATTACTTTAACGCTCGTTACTGGCTTAATTTTTTAAGACAATGCAATTTGACATAAACCCGTTTTGTAAAAGCTAAAATCTATACAAATTTTATGAGGATCGGCCCATAATTAACTCTAACCTCGTATAAGGTCCCTTTATTTTAAGACCATTTACCGGGCATTGTGGTTAAGATATTACTAAATAGATTTTGATTATTGGGGCAAAAGTACTGCTCATATAGTAGTCAAATGGGGAAATGTATGGGCTGTAAAACTTTCCTACCTTCTAAATACTTTTTAACCGGTATTGCTACCACAAGTCCGAGCGTTGTTATAATGGAATATTGTACGCTCTCATGTCTGGTCGTACATACATTCTGGAAGTATATTATTTTTCGGCCAATACTCAATTGTATTTTATATAGTTTCCCGGTGATAGTGGTCTATCCAGATTTGAGCAGCTTATAATAGATATATACTGTTGGTCCCATCAAATCCTCGGCTGATGGGCCAGGCTTCAGTTTCGAGTTTCATTGAAAATAATAACTCGAATCTGTTGCATTCCATACAGGATCCCTGTGATAGGGTCTGTCCAGCTGTCTAGCGCCACGGATATTTTGCTTTGGCGTCGATTCAGATTAAAAAAAGTATTGCCAACTTTTAGCGCCAAATTAAAAATGCAATAATTTTTCTTTTTATTTCATATTATTTTATTTAATATTTTTTTTTGCGCTCATATATTTTTTTTATTTGTTTTATAACGTCTTAATTTTTAATATTATTTTTTTTTTTGTTGAAGTTTACAAATTAATAAAAATAATTATAATTATATTAATTAATTATATATAATAATAAAAAAATAATAAAACATATAAAAAACAATAAATAAAAAATTATATAGATTTTTTGTTAATGTTAACAGTGTGGTTGTTGTCAGTTTTTTTATTATTATTATTATTTAATAACATTAACTATTATTTAGTTTAAATTTACTTAAGTAACTAAGTAAATTAAGGGAAAACTTATGTTATAAAATTAGTTATAAATTAGTATTATAATTAAATATATTCTTAAATATATATTTTTAATTTTTAGTTGTAGTTAAGTAAGTTTTAGGTTTATTTTTAATGTAAAACTAGAAAAAGATAATATTTAGTAGTTTTATTTATAATTAGAATTATTTGTGTAAAATTATTTTATAAAAAAAGAAATAGAAAGAGATAGAGACAGAGAGAGTGAAAGACGGAGTCAGTGTGAGTGTGTGGCTTAAGTTATTAATTATTATAAAGGTTTCAATTCTATTGAAGAAAATTGTCATTATTTTTATTTGAATTTCAAATATTTTAGTTTTGATTACGTTTACATTGCCTGTTTTGGGTTTCTTTTTTTTCAATATTTTAATAATAATTTTGTTTAAAAATTTGTGACTTTTTTTTGGTGTTAGAGTAGGCACCACTTTCTTTATGATTTTTATTTTCTATTAAACATTTAATTTTAAATTGCTAAATATGTATAAGTTTTTTGTTTTAGTTTTAATATAAATTCTACTTTTTATTTAAATTGTTTAAAGGAGAATAGAAAACAAAAACACAATATTGCTTTAAATCGTTTTTTTTTTCGAATAAAAAAACTCTTTTTTTGTTGGTTTTTGAAACCCTGATTTTAAGAAAAAATGTTTAATATCAAAAAAAAAAAAATTGTTTTAAACTTTAATTAATTCAAAACATTATTGCGTTTCTTCTTTTAAAACATTTATTCGAGGTTTTAGGTTCTACTTGCTACTGTTTCTATATAAAAATATATTTATTGGTTGTAACTTTGGATTTTACTACTTTCCATTCAAACATTTTACATTTTTAAGTTCTTATTAATAATTTTTTTTTTAATTGTTTTGTTGCTGTTTCACAAAAAATTTGTTTCCGTAATTTTATTAGATTTTTTTTAATTAAATTCTGGACGGTTTTTATTATTTTTGCTTTGAATTTATTGGTTTTTTAGATTTTTGTTTTAAGTTTTAAGGACGTTTTTTGTTGTATTTTTTATTAAGGTATTTGTTTTGATTTTTTTTGGTTACAATAAATTCTCTATTATTTCCATTTAACTTATTTATAGAAAAAAAAAAAAAAAACATTTAATTATTGATTTGGTATTGGTTTGCTTTGAAAGTTTCAATCCTTAAAGATTTGGGGAATAATTATTAAAATTAAAACGATAAAATTGAAAATAATTGCTTATATATCATTAAACGACTTTTGTGAACTCTGAAAGAAGCTTTTTAAAAAGTAAATAAAGCTTTAAAAACTGTTGATCAAGTTTTTAATATCTCACTAATCTTGCTGATATTTTGAACTTATAAAGTACAAAGCTTACAAATAAAAAAGCTTTAACTAAAAGCTATTGTACTGTAAAATCTTAAATAAGCTTTCTTAGAACTTCCTTTCTACTTCCTCTTAAAGTTCTTTTAAACTAAAGTTTACCAATAAGCTTTTGCCAAATGATATTTTTGAAATTTCTTTAAATATGCCAATTATTTTATTGATATTTTGTATAAATAAAAGCTTCTCTATGATTAAACTACTTTTGCAAACTCTTCAAGAAGCTCTATTAAAATGATAATAAAGCTTTAAAAACTGTTGATCAAGTTTTTAATATCTCACTGATCTTGTTGATATTTTGAAGTATAAAGTACAAAGCTTACAGATAGAAAAGCTTGAACTAAAAGCTATTGTATTGCAAAGTCTTAAATAAGCTTTCTTTAAACATAGACTTTCTAATTTCTCTTAAAGCTTTTTAAAGCTTTTAAAAAAATGTTTAATTAAAAAAAATTTCTTAAAGTTTTTTAGACTAAAGCTTTGTTATAAACGTTTAATAAAAAATAATTATTTTGCTCATATTCCAATGTAAAAAACATGCTTACAGAAAGCTTTAACTAAAAAGCTATTATACCTCAAAGTATTAAGAGTGTTTAAGAGTTCTTTTAAAAGCTATCGATCAAGCTTTTGTAAAATGAACTTTTTGAAATATCTACGATTACGTTACCACATTTGTGTTTTCTAAATTTTCAAAATAAAATCCTCTTTCTAGAAAAGCTTTTTCTAAGGTAATCCCTTTCCATATAAACTTTTCTAAAGAAAGTTTCCTTTTGATAAAAAGTTGTTTAAAATCAAGATTTTAATTAAAAAAATTTCACTTAAAGCTTTTTAAAATGAAATTAAAATAAAGCTCTTTAAAAACATTTGATCAACTCAAACTCTAAGGGAAACTCTTTCCAGATAAATGTCAGAAAATTTCTTCTAGCAATAATTTTCTAATGGAAACTCTTTTAAGGGCAACTTTTCTAGTGGAAACTCTGTCTGGGGAAACTTTTCTAATGAAAATTTCCTCCAGATAAACTTTTTTATTGCTTTTGTAACGAAAACCTTTTCCAGATAAACTTTTATAAAGGAAACTTTCTCCAGAGATAATTTTCTAATGGAAACTTTCTTTTGGGAAACTTTTCTAAAGAAAACTTTTTATAACAATAATTTTAAAGAAATTTTTATCTAGAGGATCATTTTATACTTCAATGCCTTAAAAGCTTTAAATAATCTTGCTAACTAAATCCATAGTTCTTTTGTAAAGCAAATTTTCCAATTGAAATTTTAAAATTTTGAGCCAAAAGCTTTACTTAAACCAAATCTTATTTCTTTCCTTACTAATTCCCCAAATTTTAACGGATCTTGTTTACTTAATATTTGTATTATTATCTTGTTAATAGTATTCAAAAAATATCTTCTTCTCAACAACAAAACTATTTAAAACAATTTAATTATTAACTTTAACAACTTTCTATTTCTAATCTCAATTAGTTTTGTTTCTTCTTAATTTTTTGGAATGTATTTGAACGTATACTTTGTGTTTGCGCCCCTTTTCTTTACTCAATTATTTCGTACGTTTTGTGGCACTAGCCGCTGTGGGTCTCATAAAACTACTAACACCCCGGGTACTAGAACTGCTGCGTGAAGTGGCTGTTCTTGTAGAATTTTGTGGATTTCCCACATTAGCTTTTGCCAATAAGGCGCTACGAGCCGTTTGTGAACGCGCTGATGAGCCTACATTTGTTTGATTCTCCTTAAAACTAGTGCTGCCCAAATTTGAGCTGGACGTATGTCGTGGTTGGTTGGCATTTGATTGTGTCGAGTTGAGACGACGCACTACCACAATATTGGGTCCTACACTAGAACCGCTGGAGCTAGAACGACTAGCTGGCACACCACCTGTGCTCGATAAACGTGTAGGGTTGTTGCGCAGGTTTTGGGTGCTCAAGGGACGTTTACTGGGTGAAGAGTCGACGGATACTGTGTGTAAAGGAGATTTATTTAGATGACTACTGCCAATGGGCATACGTTTAACAGTTTGTGTGGAAGCGCCGCTGTTGATGGAAGAGCGTGAAGATCTTAGACTATTGCGTGAGCTGCTGCGTTCAACATCGCGTTTCGTGGAGCCCGACGAGGACGATGAAGGCTCTGAATTCGCTATAGTCTTGCGCATAGAAGTGGCTCTCCTTATAGCATTATTGGTGAAATTACTCATATGGGCTGCAGCTGTAGAACTGGCAGGACCCTGCACAAGTTGTCCATTAGGCATACGAGACGTACGTGCACGATCTACCGACGAGGCTGTTCTACGTGGAGAGGATGCTGCCGTAGTGGGTTGTGACTTGGAAGCGGTAGAGGACGAACGTAGTCTGGAGATTTGTAATCTATCCGCCAAACGACTGGAAATCTTTTGTATGGGTGTGGTTTTTTGTGACAAGGACTTTTGTGTGAGTTTGGGCAACTCATTTACCTCATTGCAGGAAGAATTTGTGCTTTCTTTACCGTGGGAGGGGGTATCGGAGACTAGACTTTGTGTTTCTTCAAAACCTTCATCGTTAAGCTCATGATTTGAAATTTTGATTAGAGTAGTACCATTGGCGGTTGTGGTGGTGTTTGCACTTCTTTGTGCAATTATTTCTCTTGGAGGACTCCACAAACGCTCCGGACAGTCTGTGGGTGATTTGAGATTTCGTAAAGCTTCTTGCACATCCTCCTGATTAATGGAGCTTATATGGCGTCCCACTTTCTCCAATTTGGTTATGGTTTTCGCTGAGATATTTGTACGTTTAACTTTTGGATTTTCGCTTATCTTGTCCGCCGAGTTTGTTGTCGCTAAAGGTTTTTCTTCACATTTGGTTAGAGATTTTTGGATTTCTGTGCTGCTATTCTTAGCTAATTGTGTTAAGGAATTTTCCTCACTTGAATCTTTGGCAGAAGTTAAGTCCTCATTTCCACTGCTGTAGTCGGTAGGACGTTTATAACGTCTAGTACGTCTAGCCATAGAATAACGATCAAAGTGTCCCGGCGTTTCCGTATTTTCTACATCATTACTACTTTCTGTTTGCGTTTTAGGCTCCGTTCTATTGACGGTTACTAGAGTAGTGGTAGGACTAGATATGATTCTTCTCGTTACTGGCGGTGTTTCAATATTATCCGCATCAATTTCCTTACGATTTGTGCTCGTTGTAGTAGCTTTGTGACTTGTTTGATTGTGTATATTATTTGAGGTATTGCTTTCCGATTTATTGACTTCACTGCTCGTCGGTACATTATCAAAGTTGAATTTCTGTTGACTATTATTGGCTGTACGATTTTTGGATATGGGAGACTTAATATGATTTTCGGCATTAACTTTGGTTGTACTAGCTGTTTCGGCGGCGACTTCATAAGTGGAAGGTGGTGATTTAAGAGCATCAACACCAGTTAAACGTTGCTTATTTGCTGCGCTATGGTCCTTATCCATGGTGGAGGGAGACCGTATATAGATTTTCAAACGATCGGTTGCATCACGTTCGCCCAACTGTTGTATTAGAGATTTGCGACGATCTTCTTCTGCTATGGACTCCAATTGTGTGGCATTATTCTCTATCGAACGTTGTCTTCTATAGACAACATCCTCGGATTTGTTAACATTATTCACTAGGGTTGATGATTTTGTGAAGGAAACTTCATCTGCTTCCGTTATGCTGGGCTTTTCCCTTTGCTTGTAGGAATTTTCACGAGCGTTATTAACATCTGTAAAACACATAGAGAGAGATCATTGATATGTTTCTATAACTTTATATTTAAGACTTAATCAACCTGCTATGGCTTGTATGGTACCGACAACATCGGTGTCTAAAGTTTTGGAAGGTTTCCAATCGGGATAAACACGTTTATAGCCATCCTTTGTTTGACTATTATTGCTGTTGTTAGTGTTGTTAGTATCATTAGTACAAGGATTCGGTGTAGTTGGTACAAATTTCTCTTCAGGTAATGTATCCAACTTTCGTTCGCTTTCTAAGAATATATAAAGAAATAATCAGAATTGTTGAAAGTCTGATAAAATGGTAGACAATCTTACCCGATTCGTTTTCAAGCGAACGCCTATTGATGTTAACCAAACGTCGCTTGCGTTTGTATTCCTCGTCTTGTTTTTCATCGTTTTCGTTCGATTGTAACCAGGTTTCGATCTTTTGACGCCATTCACGAGATATTCTGCAAATTACACATAAATTTAATGCAAAATTTAAGAAGTCGTAATCAATTGTTTCCATTACCTTGGTTTTGTTTCATCTTGTGCTGGTTGTACAATTTCCCCATTACTGGGCGATAACGGTGAAGCCTTTTCGGGCACATTAATTGGCAGCGGAGAAGCGGCTCTTTCTCTATCCGCTCCAAAGTCAATATTTAACAATTCGGGACGTTTACGACTAGAACTACCAGAACGGGCGCGGCGGGCCCAAGAACGATCTATTAAGGAATGGAAATATTACATGTTTAAACATCTAGTTAATTTCAGATTCTTACCTAAACTTCCATAGGCTGCTTTACGTTCGCGACTATTGCGCTCATGACCTGAAGTTCTTAAGAACTCCATAAGATCATCTTCTTCAGCCAAGACACGACTTCTGCGTCTACGCATACTGCCATTAGGTGTGATGTCGGGAGACATACCCTCACAGTTGCCATTAGTAGCCTCCATGCGTATAAAACTATTATTGATTTCCAAGGTGCCATTATTGAAAGAACCAAAACGTTTGCGTGACAAAGCAGGACTAGCTCTGGCATCAAAGGATGAGTCCAGGGAATATTGATTTTCATAGTCCGAGACGGGAGTACCATTTTGATTGGCTAAAGAAAGCAAAAAAGTTCAGTTATAACTTTGCTAATGTAAGTTGCACTTTCTCTTACCATATTTGGCTCTGCGGGCCAACTGTTCCTCTCTCTGTTTCTGCCTTAAAGTGGCCTGTTCCTCCAACTGTTGACGACGTTCATTTTCTTTGACAGCCTGTTTGAATTTATCACAGAAAGTTTGCAGAATTTTAAAACATTCTTCTAGTCTAAACGAGGCCGGATCCTCACAGAAGAAATCGGCCAATTTTAAACGCATAGATTCAACTGCATCCATGCCTGACTTAAGCACAGATATTTCACTTTCGGCACTTTCTAAAAATTCCATCATTTGCTCCTTGATATCCTCATCGGTGTTGGGCAGCTCAATTTGTTTTTTAATTTTTTGCAATTGGGTATCCAAGTTCTTGATATCTATACTGATTTGCTCGACATTGGTTCTAGAAATTATATTAGTTTTATTATCTAAACGATCTAGAAATTTTCGGTTTAACTTACTTGGAAGCATTTTCTAAAGTACTAAGCTCATTGGTAAAATTCAAAAGGGCAGGATTACGTTTTTCCGCTTGTATGGCGACAAAATGTATGAGATTCATACCCGGCTTATTGGCGCGTATATCGGTCAGCTTGGTTAGTGAAGATAACTTAACACCGGCAGCATTGCCAGCATAACCACCAGAATTAAGGAAATTACCCGCTACCACCACTATGTACAGAACTTCTTGTAAGGTTTTATTATTGATAAGATCTATATTTGAAAGGATTAAGAAAATATGAAACTGGAAAGTTTATGATTATAAGATAAATAGTACTTACCATCTCCAGCCTCTATCATGGCATTTATGCAGGGATCTAGATATGTTATATTTGCAGCAAATTCCTCTTTCAGAAGCATGCTCTCAATGCGTAATTTGTAACTAGGTTTATAAGAAAAGATTTTTAATTTCCACTTCAGAATAGTTAAAAATATTCCAAAACTTACTTTGGTACCTCCATCAAAAGCAGCAGAAACTTTTCTGCTCTACCCAAACGTTGACGATCACCATTGAATGTTTTCAGCATATCGATCTCATCAACTTCTGGTAAGATTTTCAATAGACCTCTTAGCTTTTCAGCTCCTATAATCTCATGATTACCATCTTGTATTAGCTGAACTATATCTTCATTGGAATTGTAGCCTTTGAACTGCTTAAGGAATATATTTACATTGAGACTTCTTTTACCATCCAGTAGATTAATTTCCGTACTCTCTTTCTTCGATTTACGATCTAAGGTATCATAGCCACCAGCCGCACTGTTGCCATTGCCATTATCGGCTCTTCCTAATTTCGGTGAACCCTGGGCACTGGTCGATTGTAAACAGAAGAGACCCTCCATTTCATTCCAATCTAAATCTTCCATAGAATTATCCTGATGATTATTGGCCACTATAGTCCAGAGATTTTGTTTGCCTAAGACTTTATGGGGCGGTATTTTACCCCAGTTCAAAGTTTTCATTTTTGCCTTGGGTGCTGGCGTATCTTGCTGGGGCAATAAAACATCATTAACGCGGGGTTCGGGAGTGAGAGAACGTACAGGCATAGAGTTCTTAACATTTAGCAATTTACCGCCAGGCGGTGGAGCCGGTGGTGCTCCAGGTATGGGTGGTGGTGCTGGTGGTCCATTACACATTTTCATAGGTGGTGGCGGCGGTGGTGGTGCTCCTTTGCCGGCATTTAGACAGCTGGTTGGTGGTGCCGGTGGAGCTGGTGCAGGTGGTGGTGGCGGAGGTGGAGCTATGGGACCATTAGGTTTACGTGTTGGGCTTGTAGCATCACTGCGACAATTTTGACAGGTGAATTTTTGAGCGGTAGTTGTGCGCAACAAACGCACCGAGTCTTCATGATTTTCGAGTAGTGTAGCACGATGAACTAGTTTTTCCGTTGTGTCCCAAATAACATCACTGACTGGTTCTTTGGGATCAATGCGCAGTAAATGCTGTAATATACTAAGGAATGGTATTTCCTGTGGTGTATCGGCCACCTGAAATAAATAGGGAAAATTTATATATTTTTAATATAGATGTATTAAACTTTATTTTCCTATTCTAAACCCGTTTGCCATAACAACTCTCTTAAACGAGTAGTTACTTATAAGTAATAAATCAAATTATAAACACGATCTGTCCACATAAGATAGTGAAGTTTGTTACAAAAACATAAATATTCTAGTGAAACCATATTCGCCATAAATTTGCCACACATGTGCGAATAAGTAGTATGCAAAAAAAGTCACTTAAATGTACAATAAGGCGAGAAAAGTAGTTGCACAAGTTTAAACTTGATCTTGTGATCTTAACTGAAAAAGTTTTAGGTGACAATTTTATTTTTCTCTCGCTTACTGCACTTTTTTTTGCTTTGTTTCTTTTACACTTGTGTGCTTGTGTTTTTAGACGTTAGAAAAAGTTTTGTTACCAATAACCTTGACAAATTATGTACTAATATGGTAAATAAATTACAAACTACTTAATAGTACTGGCAATTTTGTCCGCTTTTTTTTCTATTTGTTTTAATTTTATATTTCTCTAACTATCAACCTGATCATTTCTAATCAATAACAAATAATTTACCACACAAACTTGAAATTAATTTTATTAAGAAAATAACATCTGGTTCTCGTTAGACGATTTTAAATTAAAAATTGAGTTATAAGCGAAAAGTCCCTGTACTCTTATTCGTTATAAAAATGGAGAAATGTGAACTTCATTATTAAGGAAAAGAATGCTGCATATTCCATTAAAATCCATATATCAAGTCCAACCCAACTCTTCAACTCTATATCTATACTCGATCGGAAGTAGTCTTGTTATACGTTGCACTATTTCTCAATGATTGTTATTGATCATTCCATTATATATTAAAGGCTGATAATCCACGATCTATCTTATAACATTGAGCGGGATTTTTCTGGAAATTTTTGCTGCTGAAGATTTAATTCAATCTTAAATATTCAATTTTCAAGATCTCTTCTGAGGATAGCGTGAGACTGATAGTATCGATGTAAAAAGGTTCATAGACATCTTGCGGATCCAATAGATCATTTCTGTCCAATACGTTTAACGGAACTCATAGCAAAAACGAGCTGGCGATAGGTTAAAGGGAAGTGATATCAGTGCTGTAAGATGTTCTGGATAATATATATACGATCGATCCGCTAATAAGGGGACTTCTTCTGGTCAATCGCAACTTAGCGAATACATATTGGGTTTCAGAAGTTTTATGAGGTCAAAAAAGAGTGATATGTTTTGAAAGTATCAGTATCGAAGTAAATGCCGTGTATTTTCAAGAGTAATCCTGCCGAAGACATCTTTCGAAATCCGAAACAGCCTATAGGCCATGGGTTAGTAGGCTAAAAAGAAGGGATATCGGTCTTTTAGCATGTTTCGGATGACAGTGGTTTAGCAGACAGCATTAGAGTTAAGATCACCCCGACGCCACCCTTAGTCTACACATCGTTAGAATCCATATTGGTAACTAGCAGATAGCAATCAAGTTTGCAAGGTCACTCAAGGTATTCCGCTTTTTCAGATCACATAAGTTGTCGGCACCAAATAAGCCTGAATTGTAGTGATGTGTCAAGCAACATTGAAGTAGGGATCTTCTATTTTCAAGACTACTGCTGTCCTACATATCTAGCGGATCCCATAGTGGTAACAAAAAGCCAATAGATAGGTAGGTAGAAACTCAACAGGACAATAATCTTACCTTACTTAACCCTAATAGGTCGATCTGTTATGTGTCTAACATTGAAGATAAAAAAAATATCTCTAAGTGATCTTTCAAAGTAATAAACTGAGTATCAGTAGCCCTAAGTGTATCATTCCAATTTAAATTTAATCATAAAACGTAAACTATTTGTCACATTTATTTTGAATTAATTGAATTAACAAATGAAAAATAAAGAACATTAATACAACAGAATCAATTAGATCTAAAATCGATTTAAATAGATCTCATATTAAAAGGAAAAAAACTAATTTCCATACCTGTCGCAATATCGCATAGAAGACGTCAAGATGTGAGTTTAGGTTGATGCCATTTGGGCCCTGTAGGCTTTGTGCTTCGTCGCATTCTCTTTGCTCGTCGAATACGTCCAATTGTACAATAATATCTCCTACACTTTGTGCAACTTTTCTGTAAATAAAACAAAAACAAATAAGTTAATATTATTATTAATAAATACTTCATAATAATTACTAGCCATTGAATAAATAAATTGTTTTAAAGTGTTAATACCACTTTGATGGCGTATAAAAATTATATTTCTATTTACATTAGAAATGTTTCGCAATAAAATCAATAAATTATTCATATTTTATGGTTTTAGATTGAAACAAAAAGTTTTTTTTTGCTCTCATGTATTACTTTTTTACTTTACTTAGAATTTTATAACTCTTAATTGATTGTAAGTTATTAAATGTCAGTTTTAATGGTCATGTAAATTATACTATACCCTGCAGAAAGAAATAACAAAACATTAAGCAGTAACTAATGGTTTATGGAACAGGTAAAGTTACTGCTGAATATTTCGAAACGAATTCAAATTGTAATATGAGATGAATTTTGACACGATCGGATGATTATTGGAAACTTGGGTAAAATAAGTAGATAGATAGATAGATAGATAGATAGATAGATAGATAGATAGATAGATAGATAGATAGATAGATAGATAGATAGATAGATAGATAGATAGATAGATAGATAGATAGATAGATAGATAGATAGATAGATAGATAGATAGATAGATAGATAGCTAGATAGATCGCTGCTAGATAGATAGATAGATAGCTAGCTAGATAGCTCGATCGCTCGCTCGCTCGCTCGATAGCTAGATAGCTAGATAGATAGATAGATAGATCGATCGATAGATAGATAGATAGATAGATAGATAGATAGAGCGAGAGCAGACACAGACAGACAGACAGACCGACAGACAGACAGACAGACAGACAGACAGACAGATAGATAGATAGATAGATAGATAGATAGATAGATAGATAGATAGATAGATCGATAGATAGATCGATAGATAGATAGATCGATATAGATCGCTAGATACTCGCTAGCTCGCTCGCTCGCTCGATCGCTAGCTCGCTAGATCGATCTCGATCGCTAGCTAGATAGCTCGATAGATAGCTCGCTGCTCCGCTCGCTCGCTCGCTCGCTCGCTCGCTATCTCGCTCGCTCGCTCGCTCGCTGCTCGCTCGCTCGCTCGCTCGATCGCTCGCTCGCTCGCTCGCTAGCTCGCTCGCTCGCTCGCTCGTCGCTCGCTCCTCGCTCGCTCGCTCGCTCGCTCGCTCGCTCGCTCGCTCGCTCGCTCTCCTCGCTCGCTCGCTCGCTCGCTCGCTCGCTCGCTGCTCTCGCTCGCTCGCTCGCTCGCTCGCTCGCTCGCTCGCCGCCGCTCGCTCGCTCGCTCGCTCGCTCGCTCCTCTCGCTCGCTCGCTCGCTCGCTCTCTCGCTCGCTCGCTCGCTCGCTCGCTCGCTCGCTCGCTCGCTCCTTCGCTCGCTCGCTCGCTCGCTCTCTCGCTCTCTCGCTCGCTCGCTCGCTCGCTCGCTCGCTCGCTCTCGCTCGCTCGCTCGCTCTCGCTCGCTCGCTCGCTCGCTCGCTCTCTCTCTCCTCTCTCGCTCGCTCGCTCGCTCGCTCGCTCGCTCGCTCGCTCGCTCTGCTCGCTCGCTCGCTCGCTCGCTCGCTCGCTCGCTCTCTCGCTCGCTCGCTCGCTCGCTCGCTCGCTCGCTCGCTCGCTCGCTCGCTCCTCGCTCGCTCGCTCGCTCGCTCGCTGCTCGTCGCTCGCTCGCTCGCTCGCTCGCTCGCTCGCTCGCTCGCTCGCTCGCTCGCTCGCTCGCTCGCTCTCGCTCGCTCGCTCGCTAGCTCGCTCGCTCTCGCTCGCTCGCTCGCTCGCTCGCTCGCTCGCTCGCTCGCTCGCTCGCTCGCTCGCTCGCTCGCTCGCTCGCTCGCTCGCTCGCTCGCTCGCTCGCTCGCTCCTCGCTCGCTCGCTCGCTCGCTCGCTCGCTCGCTCGCTGGCTCCTCGCTCGCTCGCTCGCTCGCTCGCTCGCTCGCTCGCTCGCTCGCTCGCTCGCTCGCTCGCTCGCTCTCGCTCGCTCGCTGGCTGCTGCTCGCTCGCTCGCTCGCTCGCTCGCTCGCTCGCTCGCGCTCGCTCGCTCGCTGCTCGCTCGCTCGCTCGCTCGCTCGCTCGCTCGCTCGCTCGCTCGCTCGCTCTGTCCCTTTCCTCTTCCCCGCCTTTCCGCTTTCCTCTTTGAACTCAAGCCTAACCTTAGATTTCAATTGCATTAATGTGTAACAAAATTAACATTTTAACACAATTGTTTTTTTTCAACTAATCATCACTGCAAACAATGCCTTTGAAAATTTACAAATCCTTTTCTTACTGCATTTTGAAATATGCCAAGTGCATGGATTACTACTTAATTATCAAAGAAAATCATTGAATGAGCAAATTTTTCCCTTGTTTTATTAGTATGTATTTTATCTTATTTGGTTCTTGACATTTGCAGACAAAATGTCTGTTCATACCTCAGCCTGTCTTCTGTTTTTTTTGGTCTGCCCAACAGACTGACAATAACATTCATCTCAATGATAATAAAAAGTGTACACAAAAAACTGCTTTTTTGCAACTATAAATTACCTCGAACTTTACAAAAAATATGAATTAACAATCAATAACTTAGTTTGGTTTTATCCTGCATGCAACAGAGCAGCTTGTTTGTTTTTTTCATAGTATATAATACAATTCTTTTTATGCCACTATGTGGCAGGGCATTGAGAGTTGGTAAAATGGATTATTTTAAAACTTTTTATTCCGTAATATATTTATATGGAGTGTTAATTTAGGAAAATTTAATTAAGAAACTGATACTGTTATCTAAAGTAACAAAAAGTAATCTTTGTAATGTATTTCGTTAAATCAATTAAACATTTGTTCAATTTTCTTAATGCTAATCTATTGAATTTGAATCATATTTAAGCACTGAACTTTTTATTTTCTTTGAATCAATTAACTATTTGTTTAGTTGTACATCTAAAGCTTTTAAACTATTCTATTAAACATTTAATTGTAACAATTAAATGTTTTTGCTTAAAACAATTACAAGTTTTCATTTATATCTTTGCTATTTTATATTTTATAGTTTATGGGGCTAACTTAACCCTTTTACTTATCCCAACTAATTCTACAGTTTGTAAATGTTAAAAACATAATAAAGGGTGTTTAAATATAGCATGTTATTTCAATCATAATATGTAATACTAAAAAGATCAACGCGTACCATGTTCAAGTTGATTCGATCCTCATAAAACCTGCTTTGACAAAATCCAGAGTGTAATGTAGTCAAGTATTAAATTAGAATTTTTTTTAGTTAATCCCTTTTTCAAAAAATAAAAAAAAAATCTATAGGAAATCGATTTTTTACTAGAAAATATAAATTTAGCCAGAAAATCGAAATTACACCAGCAAATCGATTTTTTACTAAAATATGTAAATTTTAATTAAAAATACATTTTTACTAGAAAATCGAAATTCCATCAGAATATTGTATAAGTCCAGACTATAGAGTAAACTATAGACTATAGTTCAGAGAGTAGACTGTAGTCCAAACTATAGCCTATACTATAGTCCAGACTATAGACTATGTTATAGTCCAGACTATATACTATACTAAAGTCCAGATACAGACTATAGTCCAGACTATAGACTAGACTATAGTCCAGACTATAAACTAGACTATAGTCCAGACTATAGACTCCAGACTAAGGACTACACTATAGTCCGGACTATAGACTAGACTATAGTCCAGAATATAGGCTAGACTATGGTCCAGACTATTGTTCAGACTATAGACTAGACTATAGTTCAGAAAATACATTAGACTATAGTTTAGACTATAGACTACACTATAGTTCAGACTATAGACTGGGCTATAGTTCAGACTGTAGACTACACTATAGTTCAGACAATAGACTGGGCTATAGTTCAGACTATAGACTACAATATACTTCAGAATATAGACTAGATTATAGTCCAGACTATAGACTAGACTATAATCCAGACTAAAGACTAGACTATAGACTATTGTCCAGCCTATAGACTAGACTACAGTCCAGACTATAGACTAGACTATTGTCCAGCCTATAGACTAGACTACAGTCCAGACTATAGACTAGACTATAGTTCAGACTATATACAAAACTATAGTTCAGACTATAGACTATACTATAGTTCAGACTATAGACTAGATTATAGTTCAGACTACGGACTATAGACTAGACTATACTCCAGACTATTGACTGCACTATAGTCCAGACTATAGACTAGGCTATAGTCTGGACCCTAGTCTAGTCTATAGTTTGGACAAGACTATAGTCTAGTCTATAGTCTGAACTATAGTCCAGTCTATAGTCTGAATTATAGTCTAGTGCATAGTCTAAACTATAGTCCAGTGTATAGTCTGAACTATTGTCTAGTGTATAGTCTGAAGTCAGGACTATAGTCTAGTCTAGACTACTGTTCATATTATATATTAGACTATAGTTTCGGCTTTATATTAGACTGTGTCATCCAGGCTATAGTCCTATAGATTAGACTATAGTCCGACTATTGACCAACTATAGACTTGATTATAGTCTAGACTATAGACTAGAATATAATCCCTACTATACTAGTCTATAGGGGTTAGACTAGTCTATAGTCCAGGCTTTAGACTCGGTTGGAGATGTTCAGAGTTCAGAAATGTTAATTTGTGCGTTAAAAATATTATATCCTTGATCAACACCCTTTCTGTCAAACATTAAAAACTCGAAAACTCCAACATGCTGTCGTACAATTAAAAAAATCGGCAAAACTATTTTGCGACCGCAAATGTGTTGAGAGGGGGTGGTGTGGACTCGTGCATGTGTGTTCTGCTCTGTGTTTACTTTGTTTATGGAATTGTTTACACTAATAACTATATTATGTATAAATCTGGTAACTAGATAGAGGAGAGACTCTGTGTACTTGAACTAAGTTAACCCTTTTGTGTTTTTGTTTATAAAACAATATAGGAAATATCACGTAAATAAAAGCAATTGCTTGAGTATAATATGGGAGGGAGGTGGTTGGGAAGGAAAACAAAAAGTT